AAAAAAAAAAAGAGTTTTTCAGTAGTGCCCGAGAAAAGTTTTAAAGTTGAAATATTTTCTAAAGTTCAAATTATTTCTGAAAACTTAGCGTTTTTTAAAGATAAGTAAGTGGGCGCTACATATCTCAAAATTAATAACGAATTCATCCTCATCATTTGGTAATGAATCATTCAATCATACACCAAGATTATGCATTTGAGAAGTTCAAAAGTATCATTTGATTTCAGTAATAACTGCACCAAACTAGTTTTTTTAAAATTCATACTGTGATTCACAAAATCATAACAAACTTCATATAAATTATTAGATTAAAAAGAAGATATAAAATTTTTATACTCTATATTATTTTAAGTTATAAGATAATAATAAAATAATATTGGTGTAATAAAAAATTAATAAATTTTTAACTTCAAATAATGTATATTACGGTTTTTTTTAATTAAGTGTTGGTTATAATATTTGAAACAATTTTTTAACTTTAGAATAACTTATTTAGAAGTGGAATATATTGTAATAAGATATGAGTAGTGGAAGAGAGAGGGAAAGACAAACAAAGAGAGAGAGAGAGAGAGAGAGAGAGAGAGAGAGAGAGAGAGAGAGAGAGAGAGAGAGAGATTATGTTAGTAATATTTACTGACTAGTACAATACATGTGTAGGGGTACTTGTTAGGAAAATTATATTTAAAATTGAGAAATAATAACAAAAAAAATGATTTTAGTTTGTAAATACTTTTTGAACACATATATTATTATTCATATTTAAAATGACACCGTAACTTGCACGACTTCCCAACTTATATTATATTTTTTATTTATACCAGATAACTACTTTGTAGTTAAGTTAGTTTTTTTTTTCTAAAACAATAGATATTAACATAAATCAAAAGCGCACAAATGTGCGAATACAAGCAGCTCCTAACTGAATGAGAACAAGCAACAGCTGAAAAGTGGGAAGACAAGTCAGAAGACCGCCTAGAATCCCGACTAGCAACGCTAGAATAAAAACTCGGAACTAAACTAACCAACTACTCGAACAACTAAAACAACTAAAAAAGACCCCAACAGGGTAATACCCGAGTGTCAGACCCCAACAGGGTAGTTAAGTTAGTTTAAAAAGTAATTTTATTTTTTGAATTATTATTATAGGTAATTGAATTTTAATTAGAAATAAATAAAATTATTTATCTAATTTGTATTTATAATATATATGTCAAATCGAAACTCATAATAACACGATTAATTTTATATATTATATATAAAAAGTTGTTTATAAATAAAACTGTTATTAACTTTTAAATGTATTTATAATTTAAGTTAGTAAATATGTTATAATTTTAAAAGAATATGAGGAAAAAATAAAGATTGAAAAAAAATGTACCTTATAAACTACGTCTACAATAGGAAATGATATTAAAACATAATTAATACTCTTAAAAAGGATCATAAATATCCATCATATTTAAGGATATTTCAAGCCTAGTTACTTTTGTATTGAAATAAATTAAAATATATTCAAATCAATCAATAAAGCTTGAAAAATTCCACATAAGATCTCAAAGCATGCTAGTCTGTCATTTAGCTTAGCGCATTCGATAATTATATATAGAAGAGATAATGTTTGAATATGTTAAATTTTAATTATCCTTAATTATAAACAAAAACTCTAAAATGGCTATTATTTTATAATGAGTAAAATAAGTATATAAATTATATATTAAATTATTTATATCACAAAATAAAATAAAAAAATTAATATTAATATTTAAAACTATTTTTACACTAACTGATATTTTATTGTTTTGATACATGCATTTTATGATTATTACACCGCACGAGCTACGTACTAGTATGGTATAAAGTGGTTGAATATACTTTTGGTATTTGATAGTCTTTTATATTGGAAATCAATCAAATATATATTATAAAGTGGATGAATTTATTTTTGTTATTTGATCTATAAGAAAGAAATCAATCAATATATGGTATAAAATGTGTGAATTTATTTTTGGTATTTCATGATCGTTTATATAAAAAATAAATAAATTAATATATGATATAAAGTGAGCAAATTTATTTGGGTTATTTGATGGCAATTTGTTTTTTTTTTTTTTCTGGTAGAAAATTTGCTGAGAAGTTAATTAATAAATGGTTTACTTTTTGTCTAAAATGTGCGGGCCAATATATTGGTCTTTGGCTTGGGTCTCAATTTTTATTTCAATGTTTTTGTATGAAATTATCATAATGAAATTATCGCCAACTCCGGCAGAATAATATGAAATATTTTGATATATTGTGTGTGTTTCGACCTTTTTTAATAGAAAATGTTGTGGTCAATTTTTTATTTATATAATCAGTGGGTCTCAACGTAATTCAATTTTTATTACAACATGTCAAATATTTTTTGTGTGAAATGCACTTTCAATATTTTTAGTGTGATAAAGAGTCTCGATTTTTTTGGTATAGAAAATCTAAACAATAATATGACCGATTTGTTTTATAATAAATGTGTGTCTCTATTTTTTCTGTAAGCTTTAGATTTGATGTTTCTGGTATGAGAAATCTGAAGAATGATATGACAAAGATCTTTTTTTTTTATGTATAAATGATTGGAGTAGAAGTCAAAATTCCAATGAGATCTCATAAAAATTGTATTGTATATCGTATAAATCATTCTTTTAAAAAAAATTCACAATGGCCAAATTGATGAAACAACAAAAAATATACGCGATATCAACATAAAAGTTGATATTGTCGATTTGATTCAATATACCCGATATAATCAAATTATTGATTGATTAACAAATAATCAAAATATAATTACAAAAAATCTCAAAATTAAATATTACATAACCACATTGCAAATCACCAACTTATTAATTTGAAATATATAAATAATCAAATATGAAAAAATATAATAGCCATTAAATTAACAAAAACAACATGTGAATTACATAAAATAAATCTTTGTCATTACAAAATTAAATAAGTGTTATTCGCACATTTTAAAAAATGACATGAATCATAGGCAATATGTTGCATTGCATTTGTTAAAATATTTTAACATCAGCTATTTATGGGATTGACCTAAAATAGACTTTGTTCTTCTTCCCTCATAAATTCACTGCAGATCGATGTTGTCTATTCGTTCCACTTTCAATCTAATTTTTAATTACCCAAATACAAGATTTATACTTATTTATTTCAATTCAACACGGATTCGGTCTGATCTAGGATGTCACTAGAACAAAAAAACTACCAATGATGTTGCGTACGATTAGAATAACCGAATACAATTTGAGATTGAATACAAGAATTACTTGAAAATACTATTTCACGATGAGGACTTCCAATAGATTCTCTCAGTTATTTCAAAGGGGAGTGGTCAGAATATTGTGAATGCTGCAATTAATTCTTCCGACATATGGGCTGACTGTACTGTGTTGTGACTTACAAAAAATATATGCCTTTGAAGCATTAGTGAGTCGGATGAATGCGAGGAGCTGACAACTTTTGTTAATTGGAATTGTTGGGAGCACATATCCAATATTTATGGATGCGATCGATAATCTCAATTATGTGAAGGATAAAGTTATACTAGCTCAAAAGTTGGAGGTGATTGAGTCTATGGA